CAGGAAAAATTAATATGAAGGTAAATTAAATTATAAAACTTGAGGTAAAATTCTTTTTTAATTTATTTGGTGCATTTTAAACGTATTTATTTAGTGGTTCATTTATATGTTTCTGCTTTTAATTCTAATTATGTCAGTTTCGGTCCTCCATACAGCAGAACTTGGAGGAGGTAGTTCAGTGACTGAATCAGGTGTGTTGGAGCAGGAAACATGTAAAACATGCAGGACTGCGGCCCTCGAGGACCAGGATTGCCCACCCCTGCTTTAAGTTGTAATTCTGACGGGTTAAGTCACAATTTGAGATGGTATATTATGAGGTGGTGGACAGTAGAAAATGGTTTTCCATAGATTTTAACTGAACTTGGTTCCATCATAATATTTTTCTCATTCAAAATAAAATGCTTAGACATTGTCCAAGATTGGTTATTCTGTATATTTTCAGGTTTTGTGCGAGGAATACTGTTCTTGACATTGAAAGTAGTCACTGATATGTGTCGAATCTTAATAAATTATTAAAATATCCTGTTATAAAGGAATTGAAGTATACACACACACATTTGCCACTTTATTGAATTTGCTCAATTGCTTTTTAACACATAGTTAATCAGCTACTGGCAGGACAGCAACTTGGTGCCTTTTAGGCATATGAAGATGACTTGCTGAAGTTCAAACTGGGCATCAAAATGGGAGACTTTGTTGCTGGTGCCAGGCAGACTGGTCTACTGAGATTTTTTACACACAAACATCAGMAAGGTTTCAAGTGAATTATCCAACYGCTGCATTTGTGTACAGAGAAGTCTTGTTAATGTCAGAGGTAAAAGGAGAACAGGCAAAGGGTTTGAGATGACAGAAATGCAGCAGTAGTTCAAATAAGCACTCGACAAAGGTCTGCAGAATACCATCTCTGAATACACAAGTCCAAAGTTCAAACCTGAAGCACACAGGCTGCTAAGGCAGGCTGTTTTAACATTTAATAGGTTGACTGGATATCTACTTCCTATCTAAAAATAGGAAGAATGTTGATTAGGTATTGRATCTGGAATGTTCATTTTGACTAGGGAAAAATGTATTTGAGATATCTGAAATAGATATCCAGTCAAGCCATTAAATGTTAAAATGGCGACTTACAATTTGTAAAGATTTATAGATATATGAAACTTAATTCTTAATAGTTCAATTTTATTTTATGACATAATGAAATTAAGTTTCTGCTAGCAATAACATAATTGTAGATATCTATAATTACAGTTCTGACTAGTAGGAATGTAATTTTGACCAGGAAGAATGTTGTTTTAGTGAGCTACAAATGGAACAACAGAGAGGAGTGGGTTTTGAATAAATGTTAAAACGGTCTGCCACAGTATCCAGCCACACCAGAAGTCACTCCTATCAGCTCAGAACAAGACTGAAACTACAACTCTCTCAGCCACACCAAAATGGCACAATAAGAACGGGGAAACCTTGCCTGATCTGTTGAGCCTTAATTCATTGAAGACATGTCCTCCATGGTCACCAGATCTCAATGCAGTCCAGCACCTTGGATGTACAGCTGACAAATCTGCACTAGCAACAGCATGATCTTATGTAAATATGGATCAAAATATCAGAGGAATATTTCCAACACCTAGGTGAATCTATGATATGGTGAATTAAACCAGTTCTGAAAGCAAAAAGGGAGTTGAACCCGATTCTAGCCAGGTGTATCTAATAAAAAGGTTGATGGTGTCGTGTGTCTCTGTTTTATGGCTATAGAAATTCATTTTGCTCATTTGCGAACCTTCTCAGACTTTCCCCTTGCTGTGATGCTTAGTACTGCTAATAAAACTTTCATAGTTTACATACTTTGTGTCGTCTGTTTGAAACACGGATGTACGAGCTTTTGTTTGTGTCCTCGAAAGCAGCACGGATCCCCAAGATGACGTCACACCAAGTCGGGGCTGGGCAGAAACGGGAGCCGCATGAAAATCATGTAACGGTTCAGGTTACGATTGTCACGACATCCCCTCACTGTGACCAGATTCACATAAAGAGACAACGTAAGCCTTCAGAAAAACTTTATTTTCCACCGCTGTTTAGATTTTGTTTTAACATAACCTGTTTAGGGCGTGTTGGCTGAGGGTTTCTGTTTTGCTAGGCTAGAGCTAGCTAGCTTTTTACAGGGGGATTCTCCAGGCTTTGGCTACAGGGTGTAAAACATGACAGCTGAACATGTTGGTGTCATGATTCGCTGCTAACTTGCGTGTTTAATTAAGATTAACTGGAAATGTTAAAATGAACATGTGGGGAGCTGAAAAGAAATGAACCAGCTGTACATCAGTTCTGCTGTAGCTCCTGGGATGACAGAGGCAGACACACAAACAAACCCCATGCATGGATGGCTTCAGATGTGCTTGTTTTGGTTGAGCTGTCCTGGCTGGGCGGGGATCAGCAGGGTAGTACACCGACTAATCTGTACGGTTAATGTTTCAGCAACAAACATTGTTTTATCAGACTGAACTAGAGTTTGCTCGGGTTTTTTTTAATAACAAGGTGGAATTGATGATGTTTGTTGGCTGAACCCTTAGCAAAAAGTAAAGCATGCATGCATGCATGCATGCATGCATAAATAAATAAATAAATAAATAAATAAATAAATAAATAAATAAATAAATAAATA